AAGTCAAATGAGCCCAAGTAAATCTTATAATCGTTTGAGGGCGTGCGACATTCAGTAAATCGTGGTGAAATCTGCCAAGGGTTAATGTTGAAGCTTACGCCGAATAAATGTTCCTTGGCTGGCGAAGATGATATTTCACGTGCTGTACGTGATTGCATTTGTTCTATTTTTAGCCTCGTAATTGTGGCATTTAACGATATAGGGTCTCGTTTCATGAAATCGAACAAAATAACAAAGTTAAAAAATCCGAGATGTGTGTGAACATAAATTGTGTTGTTTGGGAAGGCCCCGGGGTTGTAAATAAAGAGTGAAACTAAATTCAAATACTGGTGAACTTTCTGGACCGAGGTTGCAGAATATTGGCACAGATCGTAGCGGAGGTGGAGCGCGTCAATTTTTTTAAATATCATTTTATTACCACACAAACTCGCCATTTGAATTGTAAGTTTCACGAATTTGGTATAAACATAATCTCAGTTGATGACTCACACCAAACACTTTAATTTTATATCAGTAATGCATTTTATTTATTCTGCATTATATTGGTTTTTTTTGTATGAAATAATTTTCAGTGGCGGGAATCAAGTCACATTATTATATTATGTTATTGATATTTGCTAATGTTCATAATCAACCTATTTGTCCCAATAATTGTAAACTCCCACTGAAGTTGGTGTTTCAATGTTTATGACGAGTTATGTGACTATGTATATATTCCCAATGTAGATTAATATGTGTAAACAATTCCCCCATATCAACTGATTTCAATTCAACACAAAGTTAAGTACGTCACTAAAAAAACTCAAGATCCTACAGAATAGAAAACTGTGACCATTACATAAGCTAAAATGAAAAAAATAACATTTACAGTTTCTGAGATGTCATGGGTTAATATGCTTGTATTATTAATTGGCAAAATAATGTGTGGTTGTCACGGAAACCACGAGATAAAAGGAGAAATTTCACAACCGACAAACTCTACTTACTTCCTGGTATACCAAAATCATGGTACCATCAGATTTAGTTCTAGTCAATGGGATGAGCCACTGTGTTCTATTCTGGGAATGGCTGTGTTTGTTTGTAATTCGTGACCGTGTGTGCACTCTGTGGGCAGTTGTAAAAATAGATTCTCATCATTCTCGCGTGACGGTAGGTCACTGTAATGCCTACAAGCAATCCTAACGTTCGCAATATTCTCAACTCACTAAGGGTTACCCACGCCCTGTAATGGAAATATCGCTCTTTGATTACACTTCAAATCAAGTAAGTGAACAACACGCCCGTCTCCAACAATTGAACCTAAAGTATTACGATTGTACATTTCATCTCCGGCACGTGCTCCTAAGTATGTGCGAGGTAACCAGTGCGGGGGACCATATCATGATGCATATAGTCAGTTACAATGTTTGATAGGGTGTAGTTTCGCGTGATTCAAGACATATTACTAACCATTTTATCGAAACGTGTTGTTTTTTTGAATAATTGTTTTTAACTGTGGTTACTGGCTATAATTATCATATCGTATTCATCGTTTCGAGTAGTTGTTTACGTTGTCGGCCGCGTTTTCTCTCGCAATGGTCGCCATTGTACTTGGACAGCCATGCTTGAAAGAAATACTAGTACATACATAAACGCCATTATTTATACACTGCCAATTGTTTGATAAATATAGTTTATTCGGAAAAATGTTCTCATAATACATTTATTTTGGGAAGAATAATACAAACCTATCGTGGTTTGGATACATTATACGGTGACATCGCATGACTGCAGACACGATGTTATGGAATCAATGGCAGAATTACTACTATGTTAGGATTACCAACTACTGATAATATTATAAATTGTTCCACCCTGTATATACCTATCCTCGGAGATGGACAGGGACCAAAAATGGCCCTGGGCATTCCCACCAATAGGCCCACCAACAATACCGGAGAGCAGTCATTATGAATGTTGCTAAGGGTGGAACAATTAGTGCTGGGGACTGACGGCCGTAGACCGGACAGCCGTTCTGGACTTTTCCAGAACGCACAGATTATCAGTCCGCCCTGCCTATACTTCATGCTAAGTTAAAAGTACAAATTTTGAATATTAATACTTATACTAATATAATAATTTACCCTTTTTCAATAGCATGTTCCTGATCGTAAAGTTATGAATAAATTATGATAATTTACTTAACGTTTTTACACCTTCCAAGAACCTTACGGATGCTAATTATTTCTACACGTCATAATTATTATGATTCACTTGTTATTGATTGTCAGTATGCTAAAACCTGTCTGTCATCGGTTCAAGGAAATCCAGGCAATGGGTGGGTGAATAACGACAGGAAAAGCCGAAGGATACAAAATTTGATATCATTTTTTTTAAATAGGCTCGAGCATTGGTTCCTCCCAATCTTCCGAACGAACTTCTACATAAAAGACATTTCGGCAATATATTATGCGACCTCAACAATTTATCCGGGGTCGGACTTTATATATATTCGCAGTCAGTTAGCGCACAAGTGATAATAAAATGAATGCGATATTTACTATATTGGGCCGCCATCTTGAATACGACTTGAAACTACATAAATAAACAAGTTGTGAAACGCGTTTTTTTCAGATTCCTACAAATAAGGAAAAAAAATACCTCTCTTTTACAGCCAAACCATCCGTTGGTGTATTGTTAAGCCAACCGCTAACAAGATTCGGCCGAATTAATCGTTTTTGTGTAGAAAAATCCCTTGCATAGAAACACCTAATTACACGAAGAACATAAAACACTTTCCCGGGGTATTTGAAACCGAAATTACTGTACATCTTACCGTAAGGCCTTCGCTGATTGGCGGCTGACTTTGAAAGACAATTTTTGGTTTCAAATACCCCAGGAAAGTGTTCTATGTTCTGAAAAACGCGTTTCATAATTTGTTACTTTATTTATTTCATGCCGTAATAAAGATGGCGGCCCCCATATAGTATATATCGCGTTTATTTTATATTCAATATTTTTTTATGTTTACTTAACAACTAAATGTGGAACCATTCAAGCTTTGTTGGTGTATATATTTCTCAATGACACTACACAACCTCATATTTCAATCTATTTGACTAGATCATCTAATTTCACATTTAGATATATCGGCGAGGTGCTTACTATTCAATAATGATGTTAATTTGGGTGATTATCCTCCACCTATTCATCTAAATGAAATTAAGATTAAATGAAACAACGGAGTCCGTATATTGTTTCGTTCCCTAATCTTTACTTAGTTTTTTTCGTCACGCCTGTATCTAATACTAAAAGAGTGGATTTTAATATTACCATAATCAAGTGAACTTGTCAGTCGGTAGTTTGTTTGTTTTTGTAGTCACTTTTACACAATTTAGTTTATTTCTGAATCTAGTTCGCATACAAACTGTTCAAATGTATAGTAGGCACGAATACTGACATTTTATCACCGACGTTTTTGTGTGCATTTTGTTGGCTAGAAATGAGCGACTTTATGAATAACTTGTTCAGACTCTGTAGTGGAGCGATTGCCGCATTATTTACGTAATCGCCACGTGATTTTTGTGTAATTAAATTCAACTATACATTTCTATTAACCAATAGATGTCTTCTTCTCATAGATACGTCTTAAACGTTGTCATCCGTCTCCTGATTTTCCCACAAATATGGATGCCAGTAAAAGTCAATCTAAATGTACCCAATACAGTTTACACATTTGCATTGCTCTCTTCGGGATGGCTTCATGGTTACTTGTCAACGGGTTATGGATAGAAGTACCAGTGATGGTGAACCATCTCCCGGAAGGATGGGCATTGGGCTCCTATCTCGTTCTGATTATCCAGTTCGCTAATATTGGCCCACTTACGTTTGCTGTAATCAATAGACTTAATAAGAAGAAGAAGCGAATCGAAATAGCAACCAATTACATCATCATCACAATTGGCTTGTCTGCATGCATGCTCTTAGTCCCATTGTGGGATGTGACGTCATACGTAAATGGAGTTAAACACAGCACCGCCCTTCTGTCGTTGTCAGCCTTCCTGGCACTAACTGATTGCACCTCCTCCGTATCTTACCTGGCGTTCATGACAATGTTCCCGCCCACTTTATTGACGTCCTTCTTTGTTGGGATGGGAATGAATCCATTTATTGTCAGTGTTTTTGGATTACTTCAGGGTGTCAGCGGCAACCCACGCTGTATAAATTCAACCCGTGTCAATGTCACAGCCTTTGATAATCTCACCGTAAACGTGACAGACTACGAGACAGAGTACAGAAACAATGAACCTAGATTCGCTGTGGAAGTTTACTTTTTGCTTTTGTTTGGGGTGTTACTAATCAGCCTCGTGTCGTACATAGCCCTAGTTCACCTGAAAGTCTTCAAACAATTTCATCTGAAGTTAAATGCAGACACTTCGAGAAAAGTCGACATTCACCAATATGTATACTTAAATGAAAACACCTCCACGGAGAAAGGTGAATCGCCCACACTCACGAGACAGTCTCTCGTGAGAAATGATTGCGAAACTGACACAGCGGCAATTGGGAATATACAGAATAGGAGCAATAACGAATTCAAACTGGGTAAACTTGACTGGGTTTACTTCTTGGCCATACAAGCGTATTCATCCGGTCTTTTCAACAGTGTGATGCCTTCAATTCAATCCTACTCTACACTACCGTATGGCAACTTGACATATCATTTGGCGATTATCGTTGGATTGATGATGGTACCGACAGCTAGTCTGTGCGTGCACTGGTTTCCAGTAAAAACAAAACTATCTGTTGGCGTTCTCACCATGATAGGTACGATTGCTGCTACGTATATCATTACAGTAGCAGCTCTGAGTCCCTATCCTCCGTTATGCGGCAGTGTGTTTGGAGGGATCTCTTCGGTAAGCAATGAATGTTCTCATACAACCTTTCAACCAGGATTGAATTTTTGATTTAAAGGGCGGTGGTCGTCGCGCAGCGCGTGTTCGAATTTCATGTAAATAAGCAATGTATTTTACACGCGTTGTATACGTCGCTATGAGTCCCATATCGAACAGGACGCGGCACGACGACTGCCGCTCTTTAAACGTCAAAAATAGCTAAATGTGCACCAATATTAACACTACGTGTATTACAATATTTTTAATATAATTCCTCAACAGATTATGGTGTGGATCGTGTTCTATTTTGTATTCACCTATATCAAAATCTCCATTGGAATGTTGTTTCGCAGTGAAGGTAGAAACGGACTCATATGGTATGGTAGTATGTCTCAGATCGGATCGTTATTTGCAGCCATCAGCATATTCCCAGTAGTAAATGTTCTACAGTTGTTTCAGCAAGATGATCCATGTAGCACAACATGCTACTAGGACAGTGTACTTGCATATTTGAGTCACATCTTAGTTCACCATTCAAGTCACCTTCACAAGTGGTCTGTGAAGATTTCCCTATCCAGACGAGTCAATCTTTCAACTTAACCCATTGAGTGGCAAAGTCAAATTCTTGAACCATTCCCAAGAACTTGTATTTATAGTTGATGCTCCTCTCTCCATGAAAGTTTGGCGAATATTTTTTTGAACAAAATTGTGATGTCACATTTTGCCCGTTTGGTCTAAAATTAAAACTTTAACACAATTTTGTTCATTATTGGGATACCCTATTTAATTTTATCCCAATTTAGGCGGGAAAAAATGGCGCTCAACGGGTTATTAAATATTGTTTTGGCGAGGACAGTGCTAAAATTTGCTCCGTGTCACTAATTCAAAAATCTTGTTAAGCCAAGAGAATCCTGGGGCACATACCTATATGTTTTGTTTGAAATTTATATTGTATGTTTCTGTAGGGGATACATGTAATAAACGTGTGTGGGCCCTGCAGCCATAGCATAACGCTTTTCATGTTTGTTGTATAATTTGTTTGAATAACTGAAGAGAGAATATATATCAATATAGTGGTTGTATTGGACAACTCACAATCAACGCCAAAATAATAAAACATTTAAATCAAGGTTTGGTAACCTTGGTAACCTTTTTGAAATAGTGTTACGGTATCAAAATACTTATTTATACATTTACCCGCAGCAACGTATATATAAAATTAAAACAATGATAAACATAATTATAACATGATTAATTAAACTAGCCAATTAAAATAACCCAGACAGAAACATTTACAAAACAACACGTTTTAATGACTTAACAGGATTTACAAATATTTATAACTTTAAAAAACGTAGATGAATGAATCTGCTAAGTATTCTTCGCTGGCATAACGAAAACAACTCGTGTCATGTAAATACCTCTACCAATATTAACGATCTTTGAAATCATATGATCACCGAGATATGGAGCTTAATGTAACGT